CACGACATGATAACTGAAAAAGCTTACTAGTATTCTGAATCTCCTTAACAAACCAGCTGATACTCCTCTTATCTTGAAAACCATTATAAGCTTCACCATTAGGTAGCGGTAACTTAGAAACAGTGTTTACAATCCTCGACGTAATAACCTCTGGCTCACTAGAAGTTGATGCGCCAGATCTACGAGACGCTGAAGATGACTCGCACATTTGTGAACGGGTATTTCTAATACCCTCCATATAATCACGCCAAGCCAATATATCACCAAAGGTCGCTTTCTTATCGGTAAGCATCTCCTCACACTTCTTGGTAAACTCTTCATCAGTAACATGTCTTAAGAGATAAACGTTCTCTACACCAAAAGCTTCAGCAATTTGTAAACCAACAGGACTTGGGGAAGTTGTCAACGGGTTCTCCACCATGTTAACCATTTGGGAACTCAAGGCAATGGTTAATGGAATCTAGTGATTCTATCTACAATTAAACTCATAAACTCATCAACTAGCTTCGAGCTAAGCTAAGATTCCATAGTTGTGCAATCTGCACAACTACACTGGTGGACGTCCTCTCTTTTTGTGGAACTCCAATCTCATCAGTAAACCCTCAAGCACATCGCTATCAATCTTCAACTTCTTGACTCGCTCTCTGAGCTGAATCACTGGCACCTGTCTAGCATAACGGCGGTTGCATCTAGCAGCGTCGACCCAGACTTCGGTACCTTCCACGACTTTGCCTTCCAGGGTGATACTGTCGATATATCGCGGCGAGCCAAATATGAGTGATGTGCCCAAAGCGGCTCTAAGCTCCTCATATTTCTCGTTATCATCAATTTCTCCCCAGCAACCCCGCAGTGCAAAGAGCTTGGCGATCTCACACACTCTCAGGTCGCGGATGAAGTCCTTAGAAGGATCCTCCTGCTCAAGGAGATCTTCCAACCTGGAAGTTCTGAGCAGAAGCGTGTGCCTTTGTGGTGGTTCAGACGCCATACCTCGATATACCTTAGTTAAATCAATTTCTCTACCCGAGGCAGCTGAGCCATACGACGATATACCCTAGTTCAGTCAATTTCTCTACCCGGGGCAGCTGAGCCGTACCACGTTATACCCTAGTTCACCCTCTTGAGTGAGTCCGTCCAAGCTCTGACCCGTGTAGAACCAAATAGTAACTGCTAGAGATTAAGAACCACTCGCCAATACTCGCCGATTTTATATTTCAGTACTCCCGATGTTGAGTATTCCCGATAGTGACTCGATTTATTAACTAGATGACGTGAACGGCAAGGATATCACATTCCTTGATATCCAGGCGAGGCCCCTTCAAGCTGTCGTCGCTGTTACATTCCCCGTTCTCTGAGCAAAGCTGACTGATAGCCGCCGAAGCTGTCTATGATGGGCTTTTCTCGGTGATTATTGAAGATTCAACTCAACTCATATCAATTGAAAAGTATTAGTTTTGAACGCGTATAATACGACAGGATAACCGGCTCGTCAGGAAGGACGCAAACAAATAACTGAACCTCACCTCGAGACGCATAGCAGAATGTCTCGGAAAAAGATGGGAAAGAACACATCACTATACTATTGGGTGATGTGGGACTCATACAATAGATAATACGATATGAAAAAGATAGCGAAATCTATACTAGGGATTCCGTAGTGTTACAACGAAACGAGGGATGCATATGAGCAGCATAGAGGTGGCACGATGATGCCTCGCATCATACGCGAGCACTTGTTTCGACACTCCGCACATGAAGCACCTTCAACGACTTCTAGCACAAGGAGAGCTATTAATGGTGGAGCGGAACGTTACGAAGTACTCCTGTTGGGAGAGGATATTACATGGACCTATAGATTATCATGGGATCTTGAACCACATAGAACCATTCTATGGTATAGAATATCTAGTAACCGAGAACCGTACATAGTCGCAATGATAGTGACAAGAACACTCACGGTCAATAGTGACTATACGTTACCTGGTTCGTTGCCGGTTCGTTCGATGTAAGCGAAACCTCTCAGTCCCCAAGATTCCCCCCAGGTGTTGAGAATCTTCCAATACCTAGCATATAGATAAATGAACACCGAGTGCTACTTAGATATTTTAAACTCACCGAACTCCCCTTCGAGGAAGTGTTGTAACCCACGATAGTTACCGTATGACTTACGGGAGCGACTCCACAGCTCTTGACTACGAAGTTGAACGAAGACGTTCTTCGCTTCTAGGCGCGCGTGCTCCCACCTGTGATAATCCCTCCCGTGTAATGTCTGAATGGCGGGGCCTCAGCGTACAATCTAACCGTCACGGGCCCGGTAGCCACAGCTTGCATCATTAGAGCCTCGTTGGCTGCCGGTACAATCGGGATTGAAGCAATATCACCACTCTAATCATAACCAGCACTGAGCTGTGTCGTTGAGGCACACCCACCTTGAGACACTGCTCCTTCGGATCATTAGTGATGGACGTCTTACACCTGCCGGCCTTAGCCTTATAGGGATAGCTTCTGTCCCGCACAATGCCATCGTCAAACGCATACAGATATGACCCCGAGGCTGTGCCTCTTACGCAGCCACTGATAGAGAGCTCAGGTCATAGAATGCTAATTCGACTCGTTCGAATAACTAAGCGCTGTCTCACAAATTGTTTTCGTTGGGTCCACTACAGTCAACTATCTGTTGAACTGAGAACGGGACCACTTTAGTAATTTTGGTTTGTATCTTGAAACGGCTCTCCATGACGACTGAAGGAAACACCGACGATTGTAATAATGAGAAGCACCGAAATCTACGAAGTACTCAAAGCCACCAGAAACTTACTGGCAGCGTTTATGGCGTAGCAGGCACCACAAGCCTTTTGATTCCTGACTGGAGCCAAAGCGCCAGCGGCTTCCCAATCAATCGACGGAGGAAGATCCATGATGAGATCTTGTGAGTCTGAGGGACATTTTCGACTTCACTGGAGCCGCTTCAGTGTAACGAGATGAGAGCGACCCTACAAGTCGCATTGGCTGATCGCAAGTTCCCTTTGGATCGTGGATCTTCTGCACACTGGAGCACTCTATCGGATACTTCAGGTGGCAGGTCTGCATACTCGTTGAGACCGACTTCATGAGTTATATCGTCTATATAATGAACATAAGAGGAATAGAAGCTTCCATCGCTCACCGTTCGCTCTCAGTTCTTCTATCTCCCTTACGTTTCTTGCAAAAGCAGCCTTTGCAACCTGGTACTGCTCATCCGTCTCATACTTCTTATTGTATCTTCAAGAACTCTGATAGCCGATGAGAGAGACAGATGGCATATAGTAGATGCTGAAGGGAACGGATCATCTCACCGTGTCATGAAGTCGTGGAATGCCTGGTCGATATTCTCGAGCTGACCATAACGATCCGATCCTCCAGCGATAGCTTGAGCCATGAGAATGAAGTGGAGAGTCCCGGCGGTGAACCACATGATAGGGATTTGCTGATCGATTGGAGACCAGAGGATTCTTTACGAAGTACGGGGGAATGTATTTCGCCTACGAATTCTTTATTAAAACGTTCTGTCCGTGACGTCGCTACGGCGCCACCGCAGCTAGCACCGTAGCATTCCACACAGTGAAAAACAAATCTCACGACTACTGCTGCAGTAGTCGTGAAATGTTTCTCACGAATGAACTCCATTGATGATCACCTACACATTACTGTCACAGTCTCACAGACTTACTCTCACTCGCAGCTCACCACCTAGTGCCAATGGATTTATAAATTCTGTGATGCCCACCGCCTCCGGTGGGGGCTTCTTCACTGTGTACTCCGCTATAGGTGAATGCCGACTGCGATTTGTCTGGCAACACGACATAAGTCCCAAGACTGCGACAGAGCCAGCACCTTGCTGTGTTGTTGGTCCGGTGACCATCGTGGCCGGGGGCGCTCCATAGCAATAACGTGGCTGGCTACCGAGGTGAGGAACCGGCTATTGAGCTTAGCGAAAGGATTCACCATAGATGGGAGAAACTAATTATGGTGCTGATCTGATCTGAAGGCTCAATGATGTTCTCAACTTCCGATGACTACATTGAAAATATGGCATTCGGTGGCAACAGATTAATTTTATTATATTAATTCAGTTCATGAGGCTATACAAGACTTACCGTCTCACTCCACCTAGAGGGCCGATATTGGTCGAAGTATTTCCCGTGTGGAATTCAGGCGGCGATGCAAAGGTCGCTTGAGGCCGGGACCAGTCGCATTGCTTCTGACGTGACAGGTGTCGCAAACTTGGATAATGCCAAATAGTTGCCAACCGGATTTCAAAGGGAGTTTATATATTTTTTTCGCGAAACAGGTCACCGTACTGAGTTTTAGCATATTGGGAATAGTAGGGTGGAAACAGGAATGACCTAACTTTTCGGTGAAGATTAGTTGGTGGTGGAAACTGTATCCTCTCCTGCTTCGCGCAGATGGCTCTGAAGCCGACAGGAACAGATATCACCAAGATGGCGTTAATTGAGGAAGCCGCAC